CATGTTGACCAGGATGGTCTCGATCTCTTGACCTTGTGATCCACCCGCCTCGGCCTCCCAAAGTGCTGGGATTACAGGCTTGAGCCACCGTGCCCGGCTATTTTCTCCTTTTCTAAGAAAAAAATTACTGGCTGGGTGCAGTGGCTTTTGCCTGTAATCCCAACATTCTGGGAGGCCAAGGCAAGAGAATAGCTTGGACCAGTAGTTTGAGAACAGCCTGAGCAACATAGTGAGACTCCATTTCCAGAAAATATTTAAAAATTTGCTGGGAGTGGTGGCATGCGCCTGTAGTCCCAGATACTCAGGAGGCTGAGGGCAGGGGATTGTCCAAGCCCAGGGAAATTGAGGATACAGTGAGCTATGGTTATGCTACTGCACTCCAGCCTGAGTGACAGAGCAAAACTCTGTAGGGAGGTGAGGGGAGGGGAGGGGAGGCGAGGGGAGGGAAGGGGAGGGAAGGGGAGGGGAGGGGAGGGTCTTACTATGTTGCCCAGGTTAGACTCAAACTCCTAGGCTCAAGCAATCTTTTCATCTCAGCTTCCCCATGTAGCTGGGGCTGTAAGTAGGCACCACACAGTGCCTGGCTTTAAAAACAAAAACATAGTTGATGGTGCACGCCGGTAGTCCTAGCTACTCTGGAGGCTAACACAAGAGAATCACTTCAGCCCAGGAGTTGGGAGTCCAGCCTAGACAACATAACGAGACCCCATCTCAAAAAATGAATTAATTCATTAAAAAAAAGACACAATATTTTGTAATATGTAATGTCTTAAATTCCTTGTAGAAAATGTCAATAACAAGAAATGGCAATACTCAAAAATCATAAATACAAGAGATTAGTAATACATGGTAGTAGTGATAAATATTATATATACATAGCATTTATTTTTCATTGAATTAAGATTCTCTCCCTTGGAAAAATGTACTAAAATCAAGTCCTAGTAAAACCAGATATAATTTTTCATTTATGCCAATAAAGAAAAGTAGAAAGATCAATCTTTCACCTACATTTAAGTTCCAAAGATCTCTTCCTCCTTCTCCTCTCCTAGTAAATACAATTTTATTTACAACAACCTCAAAGGTTGCTTGATGGTCAATACATCTAAGCTGACAAACATAAGGTAAGATGAGGGATGGAACGGTCCACTGAATACAAGAAACAAAAATTTGTCTTCTGGTCGGTCCTGTGTTCTTTGGATATACAGCCAAAACACCACAGGTTCTACTTCAGAATAGTTACTGAAACTGCTACAGTAACTTATCCAATATTAGAATAAAAGACATGATTCCAGCAATACCTGCCAACATTCATTTCTTTGAATGCAATGGATTAACTGTTACTCTATTGATTTATTAACTCTTAGCAATGACTTTAATAGGCTGCTGCAAACATGACTACCATATTTCTACAATAAAGGAAAATTTTAAATTCAGTAACTAATGGAACAAAAAAAAAAAAATAAAGTGAAAGAAAAAACACAGTGCTGCAGATGACTACCCCTTCTCTAGCCTTATATTAAAAGTAGGAAGTTTGAGGCCGGACACGGTGGTTCACGCCTGTAATCCCAGGACTTTGGGAAGCCAAGGCAGGTGGATCACCTGAGGTCAGAGTTTAAGACCAGTCTGACTAACATGGCAAAATCTCATCTCTACTAAAAATACAAGAATTAGCCGGGTGTGGTGGCAGGCACCTATAATCCCAGCTGCTCAGGAGAATCACTTAAGCCGGGGAGGCGGAGGTTGCAGTGAGCCAAGATCGAGCTGCTGCACTCCGGCCTGGGCAGCCAAGTAAGACTCTGTCCCCCGCCCCCTACATCTCCCCACAAAATAGAAAGTTTAAGTCAAGTGAAAAATTACAGAACCCAGAAAGGTGAAAAATTATAAAAGCAATAATCCAAAAAGGACAGAAGGCTAAATACTGAAGAATTATGGCTCTGAAGAGGATTTTCATATTTTGTACTCCTTTTACAGAGTAGTAAAATGAAAGCCAGAGATTTTTCCCAGCTCAAGAAATAAGAGACATATTAATACATTATGATCATAAAAATTAAAGCTTTAATAAACTCATGCTCATTCTCAGCATGAATTTAAAAAACAAAAAAGATACACAGGAAAATGCATTAAACCTAGTCAGAAGAGTGATAGAAATTCTGTATAGTTTGGGGTATTCACTTAGACAATAGCCCATAGTTTTCTCACTTGTAACCTGAAGAAACAAGATTGGTTGTATATTCAAACATGTATACCATTTAAAATGTTACATATCTGAAATTCTTCTTTATGAAAATTTAAAGGTTCAGCTTGAAACAGCTACATATCCCCAATATATAAAACCAATTAGGAAAGCCTATGGAGTTCTAAGGAGCCAGGTAGCCTCATTCTGAAAAACAGGCTTAGAATGAGCAACGCTTTTCTTCTCATTATTCAGAAAGTTCAATCAATTGAGAGCTGAGTGTGTATGATCAGGAAATGGAAAGAAACTGATTTTTCACCTTGTTTTAGGCAGCCGCATATGATAGCTCTAAAGCATATATAAATGGTTACTTTAGGAACTTCCATGAAACTGAAATAACAGAGATTTTCAATAATAAGAAATTAGGAGGCATACAGAATCAATGTTCTTTAGAAAGTAGCATATCAAACATGGGAAAAAAATTCACATAACCAGTTCAAAGTATTACCCCAAAATGGTATAATGTTGTAATGCTTTGGGGAAATCAGTAAAAAACAAATACACACACTCACTCACTCTCTCCCTCTCTCTACACACACACACACACACACACACACACACACACACAATATACTTATATATAAAACATATATTTAAATATAAAACAAAGACTATATATGAGACTACATATTTATATATATAAAAATGTTGAGTAATGTACTATCTTTTTATGCGATTGACTTAAAAAGGGATTAATATCATGTATAAATGCAATGAACCTTAAAATACAATTTACTGAAAGATTTTTATACTAAAAACTTTTTGAAAGTCTCTGACCTTTCCAGAATCTAGTATCTTCTGAAAGTCTTCCATTGTATTAGCCACAACCATATGAGTCTTAAGGTCTTCAGAAGCCCTACCAAACAAATTAGAAAAGAAGACATAATTGTTCTCACAAATATGACAAAGTTTTATAAAACACATAATTAATGAAAACATAATAACCTGGCAGTCAGAAGGACTCAATTTGAACCTCAAGTCTGTCACTCACAGTGACCATTAGTATACCACAGTTATCTTATCATTGCACTACTGTGAGCCTTAAATGCATGGGAAATTTGTTATACACATAACAGGTTATCATAACTTTTGTTACTGCTGTTAAATCTCTAATGATCAACATTCTTTTTCTGGCATTAACACATCACCTATGGGAGTGTTATTTGAAAGAAAACAAGTGCCTCTAAGCCACTAATATGGTGCCTCTGCCTTGAGATCTGTGATTCTAAAAGACTCTCCATCGGTGAGGGCAGCCCTAAGGCTTTCCTCTATTCCTCATGCCCAACCACAATCAGGAGGTTCTCAGCCTTGGCTATATTATAATCCCCTGGGGAAGCTTTTAACAGTATAGTTGCCAGGCCCTCTCCAGACAAATTAGTATCTCTAAAAAGGCACTGGTATTTACTAAAGCTTCCCAGGTGCTGCCAATGTGTACCCAGCAGATGATAGTCAATGCCTTAAACCTTCATATTTATATCTCATAAAAACCTAGATCTATACGCAGCGATCTATTTATTTAGAATTTTTTCATTTTTTATAAAATTAAAAAAATAAAAATAAATAAACATAGACCTAAAATTAACACAAATTAATCCAGGGGACAGAAATTTCATTGTTGCAAAGCTAGTAGTAAGCAGATGGCACTTAGAAAAAAAAACCATAATACAAGTAAAAAACCTCATGCTGCTTAATTCGTGCTGCGAATTAAGCAGCATGAGGGCTCAGAGGGAAGGAACAATTGCTTCCAATTGGGGCAACCCCAAATATTCCTTGGTATAAAGGTGGTAGAAGATTTGGAGAGAGACATAAGCAATTTTGAGCAACTACCTTGTGAAAAGGGTGACATGGATGTCTTCCAAAATAGCTTGAAGTTTAGTCTCTGCCTCATTTTCAGCAACTGTCAGCTTTTCTCCAGTATCTCGTCTGACAGCTACAAACTGACAGTTCTTCATATCACGTGGCCCAACTTCAAGTCTAATGGGAACTCCCTATAAGACAAAAAAGGCAGTTAAATGATATATGAATGTCTCTAGTTGAATATACAGATGTAATTCATGGCTTTATCTACAGTAAATTATATTAAAAAATAATAAGAAAATAAAGGCATAGAAAAACAAAGGGAAAAAAAAAAAAACAAGGAAATACTGCTGAGATACTATAGAAACCTATTCCAGTAAAAAGGCATAAACCTAAAGAAAAAAATCTACTACCGCCTTAGTGGTTCTAAGGAAAGGAAGTTCTTCATGGAGAAACAGAGAGAATAGTTTCTAGGTCAGCATTTCCAACTTTTCTCACAAAATAGCATCCAGAAAATGTATTTGCATGGTAATAGGGTTACACAAAGGCTTTTTGAGACTAAATCTACCACAAGCCACTGAGGGGATCAGTACCATGACACAGTTTGACTCATTTCTGATACAGTGGTGTTCTCTGGTTGCAAAGCCCTCATTCTGGATACTCTATATTTAGCATGCATTATGATCACCTGGAAGGATTGTGAAAGCAGATTTCAGGGTCCCACCTCCAGAGTTTTTTATTATAGTAGGTTGCGGATGGGACCTGAGAATTTGTTTGTTTGTTTTTGAAGACAGTCTCCCCTGTTGACCAGACTGCAGTGCAGTGGCATGATCTTGGCTCACTGCGTCTGCCTCCAAGGATCAATTGATTCTCAAGCCTCAGCCTCCCAAGTAGCTGGGATTACAGGCACCCACCACCACACCTGACTAATTTTTGTATTTTTAGTAGACACTGGGTTTTGCCATGTTGACCAGGCTGGTGCCGAACTCATGGACTCAATTTATTTGCCTGCCTCCGCCTCCCAAAGTGCTGGGATCACAGGTGTGAGCCATAATACCTGGCCAAGAGTTTGAATTTCTAACAAGTTTCCAAGTGATGCAGACACTGCTGGTCCTAGGACTACAGTTTAAGAACCACTTCCCTATGCTCTTTAGTTCTTCCAAAGCAACTTAGGGACTGACTGCAAGTTTAAGATTTGTGAATGTTCAATCCTTATGAATGTATATCCCATAAGGGGATTAAAATCCTTAAGGTTGAGGGAAACACCTCATTTTTAGCGCCCAGAACCATATCTGATAAACAGTTGGTTTTAAATAATTTTTTTGAAAAAATAATCCTTTAAAATTAACTTGAGATTTTCATAAGTTAGGTGCTTCTATATACAATTTAGATGTTGGGTGGTATACCCAAAAATACCATAGGAAAAATTTCAGATATTAATCTAGAAGTCCTTATTTACCCCTAGAGAAGACTTATTTTATAAAATGAGATGAAAAAGAAAAAAACATTATGGAACAAAATGTTGTATGCTAAGTATTACATTATTTTATTATTTTCATTTATTCATTCAATGTATTATACTGGATGTTATTACATGCATTTGTAAGATACAGTGCTAAGTGCAATGAGATTTTAAAGATGAGTAAGAAATACATCTTGTCCTCAAGAAGCTTCATACTTTGTATGGTAAGGCACAAATACAAACAATAAAAATTAATACAGAAAGTCAGCGGTGAGAGACTATTCCTCAGCTGCAAGAGAGAAGAAAAGTTACTGGAGAAGGTAAAAATTAGTAAGTAAATTATTCATCAGAATTAAAGAACATTCTATAAAATAACTGACCTATAGTTACAAAAATGCCTATGTCATAAGTGACAATGGAAGTCTGACAAACTACTTCTGATTGAAGAACACTAAAAGCACATGACAGTGAAATGCAATAAGACTGGATTCCACACTGAAAAAGGAGAGGGCCATTGGTAGCCTGCAGTAGGGTGTCTGAGACTGCGTCAGGAGAGAGGACATCCAGCATGACAGCCTTGCATAGAGTGACAGAACCCATGACAGATAAGGAGCTCATTCACACAGGGGAACGGGTGACAATGGCAATGAGAGACTGGTGGCATACAGGGTGACTAATCAAATAAATTCATGTACTAAGGATAATTAGAGCTAGGTTTTTCATTGTCAGAAAAGGGAATTACAAGCACAAAATGGGGAAAAAACTAGAATGCATCCTGTGGTGTGTGTTGTTGTTTTTTTGTTTTCTCCTTGAGACAGTTTCACTCTTGTCACCCAGGCAGGAGTGCAATGGTGCAATCTGGGCTCACTGCAACCTCCGCCCCCGCCGGGTTCAAGTGATTCTTCTGCCTCACCCTCCTGAGTAACTGCGACTACAGGCGCCCAATACCATGCACAGCTGATTTTTGTATTTTTAGGAGAGACGTGGTTTCGCCATGTTGGATAGGCTGGTGGCCAACGCCTGACCTCAGGTGATCCACTTGCCTCTGCTTCCCAAGGTGCTGCAATTATAAGTATGAGCCACTGCACTTGGTCCATCATGGTTTCTTATTGGAATTCAAAGTATAGCTATAAACTCTTGGTTTTCAACATATATAAATAGATATAGAAGCATGGTGGTAAAAGTGTACATGTATCTGTATGTGTGTACGGATATCTACATATATACACATATTCAGTAGTGCCATCTACTGAGAAGGCCTGGGAGAAGTGATAGCTCAAAAGCAATGAGCGTACCCCGCACTAAATACCATTCTCCACTAAAAAGAACCAGAACTTCTCAGAGACATAGGTAATTCCTGGGCCAGGGTAGAGAAAGTACAAGATAAGCCCACAACATCTTGTGCCAAGAAGGAAGGAGCTACCTAAAGAAAGATGGAGAATGCCAAAAGGACACAAAACCCAGCTTTAAGGGATCCTATTGGTCAAGCCGGAGACACTTTAAGCATCAAAACAAAAAATGTTAGTAACAGATTCTATAACCCAGTGCATAATAATGGAAACCATGGATCCATAAAAATATAAATTAGTTAATAGAAAGGCTAATAAGAAATGTGCTGTGTCAAGATCATGATAAAGAAAATCTGAGAAATGATTACAGACTAAAAGAGACTAAAGATATTATATAATAACTACATACAACACATAATTCTGAACTAGATCCTTCTGCTATAAAGGAACACAAGTCAGGCAGCTTTGAAATCTGAATGGGGGTCTAGAATTAGACTATAGCAGTGTATGAACATTACTATACGGAACTTGTATTATGCAGGAGAACACGCTGGTTGTACTATGTTGGTTGCGCTGTGATTATGTAGGAGAATATGTTTGTAGGGTGATGGAGCATCAGGTTAGTATCTTATTTTCAACTGATTCAAGCAGGAAAAATTAATTATTTGTACAGAACCTGCTTTATTGTAAGTCTGTGACTGTTACATGATAAAAAATTTTACAACCCAGGTAGAAGAAATACCACAGGCAAAGACAGAGAGGTGGGAAAAACAGGCTGTTTGTGAAGAAGAGAGAAAAGGGCATATGAAAGGCGATAATGAAAAGTGAAAGCTGGAAAGGTAATCTGAAGCCAAATCATGGAAAATAGGCAAATATTTTGTTGATAGTTTTTTTCTAAAATTAGTTACAAATTTAACTGTATAAGATTTGTGTTTTGTTTCAACAGCAACACAAAATTTAATCCTTCCACATAGTAAAAAGAAAAGTAGTTAATTCACTCACATTATTTTCCCCTTTATATTTTCAAAATACCGTATAGGAAGGGGTACTAAAGCAGAATTATAGGAGTTGCTGGGTTCTGGCCTCACAACCAAACCATATTATACCTCATTTATTAATCGGAGTAAGTTTCAAAATACATGTATACATCACTCACATACTTTAGTCAGTCACTGTCAAATAACTATAAATCCAGATCTCCTAAAATATTTTTTCTTAGACTCTTTGACTAAATGGAACTAAAGAAGCATTAAAAAGTATAACTAATATCTTCCACTAGATAGTGAACTCTCTTTCTCAGTGTTTTTTAACTTGAGGCATCAAGTTTAGAACGTAGGTGCTTTCTTTTCCTTCCTGAGGAATACAGACAAGGAAGCTGTGGCAGACCCAACTCATACTAAGAATACCTCCCCAACGTAGTCTAGGCTCACCAGGGCACTAAAAGAGGAGTGACAAAGACAAAGCCAAGTCAGTCTAAGGATGGGAAATGAATAAAAAAGGAAAGGGTACAAAGAGGAATTCAGGAATGAGTGTGGATAATTTTTTTCCTTTTAATCGTGCTAGTAGCCAGCAATAAATTTCTCCTTTAACATTTTGTACCCTAAGTTAAATAGAAATTAGTTTAGAGAAACTGCTATTGGCATCACACAATACCAATTTATAAGTAAGCAAAAAAGAATGCAATTAAAAAGGAAATGACATGGAAAAAAAATTCATGTTTAGGAGAACATGTAAAGAAGCAGTTATATTACTAAAAGGGAAGTATTATTAAAATATAGTCACTATTCCTCAGCGCAAGGGACTTACCTCAGGGGCCATTTGAAACAAATAAGATGATAAATATTAGCAACTTTGGGAATCCCAGACATATAAATCCTTAATAATTCCAATATTGCTGAGCTTCCGTAATTTGAAAGCTTGCAGCTGCAATCTCAATACATTCTCTCATCCCATCATCTATAATATGAGTTTATATAGTCTCAATCCCTAATTTCTAGATCTAGTAAGATTCCCTCTTTCCGCATAAGAAAAAATGTTAAATCCCAGAAGTTTATAAAACGGACTTAAAGGCACAAATAATCTATTAATGACAATGTGCAATAAATGAAAGTTACATTACAAACAATAAAGCAGAATTTAGACTGGCTTTATATACCCAAAATAAAAAATCAACTGGTATGAAACAATGTGGTGTGAAAACTCAAGTATAAAATTAATCTCAGATGTTTCACTATTAGCTATAAAGACAGCTAAGAGATGTCCATGCACCATTATTCTGGTGGTCATACTATATAAATAACTTATTTATTATATGAATTCCTGGCATAAACATTTTAGTATACCAGCCACATGATGTTTGTTAATCATAAACAAGGGCTTCAAGACCATTTTTAATCTAACATAATAAAAATAGCTTCCATAAAACCTACTTTAAAGTTAGGTATCACTATTACAAAGCTATGAACTGTGTCAGTGCTCAACAGTTTTAAGTGAAGAAGAAAAAAAACTCACAACTATCAAAATAGAGGAAAGTAATGAAAAGCCTTAAGTTTTATAAAAACATATGCAGAGGAAAATCTAAACTCAAATTGCAGGTGTGAGGGTAACGGATACAACTGAGAAATTTACCTTGAGCTCCCAGTGATTGAATTTCCAACCTGGAGAATAGTTATCTCGTAAATCAGCTCTGACTCGGATGTTAACGCTGAGTAACCGCCTTCGATAATCATTGCATTTTGCCATCAGCGCTTCTTTGTCTTCTTCAGAAAGTGCATTGGTAATGCCACAAGGAATAACCACCACCTAGAATCCAGCACAATGTCCCAAAATTAAACAAAGAAAGAGCATATAGAAGTAATGAGCTCTCAGAAGTCAAAACCTACTAGTGACTATATTCTTAACACAAATTGGCTTGTGTGATTTCTAATCTATACATGTCTACTAATTACCTGCAAATCACTTATTCATGCTAAACGTATTTTCATCTGACCTACTATATTTAATGTACATATATATATTTACGTTTTTTTCAGCCTCCCTAGTAGCTGGGACTATCAGTGCATGCCACCACACCTGGCTAATTGTTTGTAGACTGGGTTTTGCCATGTTGCCCAGGCTAATATCAAACTCCTGGGCTCAAGCAATCTGCCCTGCCTTGGCCTCCCATAGTGCTGGGATTACAGGTGTAAGCCTTCATGCCCAGCTCATTTAACCTATTATAGTTTTTTAAAAATGACTTCTAAAAATGTTTATATAAGTAGCTTAAAATTAAAGGAGTAAGAAACAATAAATAATGTAAATGATACACACGGTTACACAAACTAGGGTCTAGACTGCATTCTATGTTTCTATTATCAGAGATATCTGCCTGAATGACATTGAGAAAATCATCCTTTCAAATTTCCTTTAGTAAAATAATGGGTTGTATTTTATAAAATGAATGAAAAACAGAAATATTTTCCTTACCTGAACACATGCTACACGGGGTGGCAATACTAAACCCATATTGTCCCCATGAATCATGGTCATAACACCAATAGTTCGAGTCGTCAGGCCCCAGGAGTTTTGATAGGCAAATTGTTTCTCTCCTGGCATCTTTGGATCTTCAAACATGATTTCAAACATTTTGGAAAAATTCTGCCCTAAATGATGTGACGTGCCTCCCTAAAATAGAGAGAGAAATATAAGCTTTAATTTTAATAACCCATTTTCCCCTTGAACATGATTACTATATGATCACATGCTTTAAAATGGCACTAGACTTGTTTTCTCCCCTTTTTTACATTAAATGAGGTTTTTAAATATTAGCATACTTACTATAACAGGAGATTCAGATTAGTCAAAAAAAAATACTATTAATACAAAAGTGTCTTGCTCTGGGCAGCCACTTTTATAGCAGTAATTTTACCTACAACAGTTAAAAAGGAATTCATATTTTAGTAATTCAGGATACATACCATGACTTAACGGACCACAGAGACAGAGGAATGGGATGGATTTGCTTTAAATTATTGTACGAAAGTACATGAAATACTTATTTTTTAAAAGAGTCTACTTCTTTGATGACAGAATAAATTACTGGATCTGTCCATGGACTGTGCTTATAGTGCCCTATGAATCCTATGTGGCAGTTTGATACCTGGATAGCTCTTCCACTAGCAGATATAAATGCTTCTACTGTAGTTGTATAGTCTCCTCCTGCAAATTTTTCCTTTTCTGTCTTTCTTCCTTTTACAACAGGAATTGCCAGGAGTTCTTCATATATTTGAGCATATAAGTCAAGTATCTGCAAGACCTGTAACATTTTAAATGTAAATGTATTTAAATTTAGGGTATATTTATTCACTAAGATATATAAAACCACACTACTTGAGAATAATTGTGTGGGAAAACCAATTCAAACAATAAAAACCTCTTTTTATGAAAAGGTTAAAGCAGCCAGTGTGAATTTATTAAGAAAGATATTCAACGAAGCAATGTAAAAACAAGTCAAATAACTTTAAAAAATGTATATGATTAGAATATAAGAAAATAAATGTTACAAAAGATATGTAGTATCAAAAGGAAAATTTCCTGAAAAATAATTTTCTACAAATTAAAGCCCAGAAGTATTTTCACCTGAAAATTTAAAAGAGCATATATTCCTTATTAATAACATTCCAGTAAGCAGTTACCTAAATCCACGTAACTGCTTTGAATTAATTTGATTTGGCTTTTAACAGGTGTTACACATATTTTTAAATAACAAGATAGCAGATCCTGAACAAAGAAATGGAACATAGTTAATATGGAAAATAACTTTATACCTCTTCTGCTGCCTCTTCAATGGTAGCAAAAGCACTGTGCCCTTCCTGCCAAAGAAATTCACGAGTACGTAGGAAAGGCTGAGGATGCTTGAACTCCCAACGCTGGAAAAGGTAAGAAAACAATTTGGTCATTACAGAGAGCTTTCCAATTTTTTTTGGAGACAGGGTCTTGCTCTGTCACCCAGGCTGGAGTGTGGTGGCGCAATCATGGCTCACTGAAACCCTCTGCCTTCCAGGCTCAAATGATCCTCCTACCTTAGCCTCCCAAGCAGTTGGACTACAGGTGCATGCCACCACACCTGTCTAATTCTTTTATTTTTAGTAGAGATGTGGTTTTTGCCATGTTGCCCAGGCTGGTCTCGAAATCCTGGGCTCAAATGATCTGTCCACTTGACCTCCCAAAGCGCTGGGATTGTAAGGGTAAGCCACCATACCCAGCCATTTTCCAATTTTTATTACCATTTTATATGGTAATCAAAAATCACAACTGATCTTAAACACTTCAAAAATACTTCCATACTCCTAATCTGCTGAAAATAAAAACAAAATATGCTTTAAAAAAAAAAAAAAGGAGGCGAATAATAATTAAAGAATATAAGAGGGAGTATACACCTACCACCACATTGCACCACTGATTGAGCCTGATGGGCAGGTCTCTGTGTGACTGCACCCATTTTGCATATGCAGGATACATTACTGAAAGACATGGGAAAATAGACAGTCATTTACGGCTTTACTTCTCCTTCAAGGCTGGTAAGAGCTAAACCAGCAAGATAATAGGAATTAAAATGTAACAAATAATTTGAAAAATAAAACGTATGTTTGTGTAAACATATTTCCAGTGCTTATAAGTGAATAGTATTATTTCATAAAGTGTATTACTCAATGATATCAATCTAAACTTAATCATATTTTACATTCTTCACATAAGATTTTACATTCTTCACGTAACACAATGTACTTTGACAGTTTTTACATTTTGTTTTTAAAAACACTAATAAAGGTCATATTCTATGTTAAGTTCTTTGCATTCATTAACCTGTTCAATTCTCATATTCAACCCATAAGTAGGTATCATAATCTCAGTTTTAAAGATGTGGAAGCTGAGTTTACAGAAGTTAAACAATTTGCTGAATCCAGCAGTTATGAGAAGCAGAATTAATTTACATCTATCTGATGCATCTATTCAGAGTATGAAAGCTCTTGCTATGAAATGCAAAGTGAAGATGCCTGTCTTAGAAGAGCCTGCTCATGATCTATAATTGGTAAAACCAAAACAAACGAAACTTTGCCAAACAGTCTCAGAAAACTGGTATCAGAATATTAATCATGTATTATACAAAAGTATCACTAGAAATATCAAAGAACAACAAACAATCCTGAACTCTACAGATGAATGATCACTTTGAAAGACATTATAAAACCCAAAACCTCAAATTTTCCAATGGCAATTCCATTTACCATATGTAATTTCAGAAAAATCATTTAATCTTTCAGACTTTTCTTTACCTGCAAAATGGAAATCACAGTAACTGCCTCTACCTTCCTCACAACACTGTTGTGAGAATAACAAAAGATGATGTAAAGTATTTAGCAACCTATGAAAACCCTACATGAATGAAAATCTAAGTGTATTATTAAAATTTGAAAATAATTATGGCACAAAGCATTTGTATTTGTAATATTATAATTAATTCCAATAAAAATTATTCTAAGAATAAAATTCCTTGAAAAGTTCTAAAAATTTACAGCATAAAAATGAGCATTTAAATTAAAAATCCAATAATTTAATGATGAAGAGAATAAAACTCTAGACAAGTTGGCCAGTCACAGTGGCTCATGCCTATAATCCCAGCACTTTGGGAGGCAAGGTGGGCAGATCACTTGAGATCAGGAGTTTGAGACCAGCCTGGCCAACATGATGAAACCCCGTCTCTACTAAAAAAATACAAAAATTAGCCGAGCGTGGTGGTGTACACCTATGATCCCAGCTACTTAGGAGGCCGAGACAGGAGAATTACTTGAACCTAGGAGGCAAAGTGAGCTGAGATCATGTCACTGCACTCCAGCCTGGGTGACAGAGTTAGATGCTGTCTCAAAAAAAGAAAGAAAGAAAGAAAAGAAAAATTAAAAAAACTCTAGACAAGTTTACAATCAATCTTTATCAACACTCATGAAATTTTATATTGTCAACAGAGATTATATCTATCACAAAGCAAAAGCTGAAACTCAACTCTAGAAGCTGCCTCTGATGTTTCAGCCCTGCACTACAAGGCCTATTCTCACCTGTTTCACTAGTAGGACGAATGGCAATCGGTTCTGCCAACTCTGTTTTGCCAGATCTTGTAACCCAAGCAACCTAGTAAGAAAAAATCATTTTTCATACATGTTTTTTCAACAGCATTTTGGAGCAACAGTACAAATGCAGGCAACTTTCCTTTGTTTTAATTTTTGTTATATCAATTTAGGCAAGTTAAAATAGTTGTTGCTATTACGGTGAGGAAAGGTACACATTTACTGACCTTCTAAATATTACAAGTCAGTTAATTAATGTGACAAACAAAATCATTACTTGCTATAAAGGGAGAAACAGAATTTTTTTTTTTTTTTTTTTTTTTACCAAAAATGGCTTTCCATTTTTCAAAATTGGTTGTTAAACTCAAAAGCTGAAAATATGTTTTCGAGTTTGTCAGAGAACACTGCAAAAAATAAAAAAGCAAGCTCACTTACCTCTGGGGCAAAGTCAGCAATATGAGTCTTCTCTTTCTCTAATGCACCTTGAGATACAAACATGGGGAAGTAGCAGTTTTCAACACCAAGTTTCTTGATCTCAGCATCAAAAAAGTCCTTGATGGCTTCCCAAATGGCATAAGCCCAGGGACGAAGAATATAACAGCCACTTACATCATGGTATTCAATCATTTCTGACTTTGTGATGACCTTTGTAAAAGAAAAACAGTCTTTAAAGCCTACCTTGAATCAAAATTCTAGTATAAGTGGCAAGAGTATGATAACCAAAATTCATCCCCTTAATGTGGATACATCCCCTTAATGTGGAAGGTCATAATGGAAGTAAAACAGACCTGACTATACTGAGAAACAACATATAACAGGGTTCTAAACTCTCATTAAAAGTTGAATTCCACTGGGCACGGCAGCTCACGCCTGTAATCTCAGCACTTTGGGAGGCCAAGGCAGGTGGATAGCCTGAGGTCAGGAGTTGGAGACCAGCCTGACCAAGATGGTGAAACCCTGTCTCTACTAAAAATACAAAAATTAGCTGGGCGTGGTGGCAGTGACCTGTAGTTCCAGCTATTCAGGAGGCTGAGGCAGAAGAACTGCTTGAACCTGGTGAAGGTTGCAGTGAGCCAAGATCGTGCCACTGCACTCCAGCCTGGGCAACAGACTGACACTGTCTCAAAAAAACCCAAAAAAACTTGAATTCCAATCCTGCCCCTGCTACTGACTGTATCTTTGTGGCTTTGAATTAATCCCTTTACCTCACCATTAAAAAAAAAAAAATAGGCTGGTCACAGCTTTTCTCTACTAAAAATACAAAAATCAGAAGGGCATGGTGGTGTACCCCTATAATCCCAGCCACTTGGGAGGCTGAGGTAGGAGAATCACTTGAACCCAGGAGGCAGAGATTGCGCCACTGCATTGCAGCCTGGGCTGAGAGAATAAGACACCATCTCAAAAACAACAACAAAAAAAATCAATCGCTGTCTCGTGGTACTATTCAAGACTTTATGTGAACATGTTGAAAAACGGTTTTATGTTAAATGACTACATTACATATTATTAAAAGAATTATACATTACTACTATGAAGTTTGTGCCCAGATTTTAGAATTTAAACAAAGCAGCCTTTGAGAGACTTAACATATAAAAATCAGCTGAATGCATACTCACCTGAGAATACCAATCGGCAAGATTTTCTTCTTTCTTTGCCTCAAGACCCAACCTGCATATACGAGAAGTAAAAGATAAATCTCTTCATTCAGCAATTGCTTTTAGGTTGAATGAAAATAAACCTCTTAAGTTCAAAATGGATTAGTTTTCTTCAGTATGGGTTATTTCTATATGTGTAACTCTTCTATATTCATTCCCAGGATAACGTTGCTTTTATGTTTTGTTTTTGAGACAGGGTCTCCCTCTGTCACCCAGACTGGAACGCAATGGTGTGACCTGTCTCACTACAACAACCTTGGACTCCTTGGCTCAAGAGATTTTCTCACCTCAACCTCCTGAGTAGCTAGGACTACAGGCGCTCATAACATTTGGCTTATTTTTTTTTTAATTCTTGGTAGAGTCAGGGTCTCGCTATGTTGCCCAGGCCAGTCTCGAACTCCTGGCCTCAAGGAATCCTCCTGCTCCGGCCTCCCAGAGTGCTAAAATTACAAGCATGAGCCACCGTGCCTAGCCCCTAAGATAATGTTTTTAACCTAAAAAACAGTAGCAACACCAGGCATGGTGGCTCACGCCTGTAATCCCAGCACTTTGAGAGGCCAAGGCAGTCAGATCACCTGAGGTTGGGAGTTTGAGACCAGTCTGACCAACATGGAGAAACCCTGTCTCTACTAAAAATACAAAAAATTAGCCAGGCATGGTGGCGCATGCCTGTAATCCCAGCTACTCGGGATGCTGAGGCAGGAGAATCGCTTGAACCCAGGAGGCAGAGGTTGCAATGAGGTAAGATCGCACCACTGCACTCTAGCCTCAGCAACAAGAGCAAAACTCCACCTCAAAACAAACAAACCAAAAAACAGTAGAGACATCTCTTAAAAAGTTGTGAGATATTGTCCACAAAATCTAGCAAAGCCAAACATAACAAAAGCTATGATTCTATGCAGACATCTCTTTTACAAGGTTATTTTTAAGGTAATGTACTTGTAATAGAGACAGAGCCTGTTCACACATATTCTCCCACTAAAAACGAAGAATCTTATGCCAGGTTAAAGTATAGAGTAACATCACTGTCTCACTGGAATTAACACCTAAAAAGTAATAAAAACAATGGCTATAAACACACACACACACACACACACACACACACACGTATGTATTTATGTGTGCATATTGGCCAAATTTATACAAGTTTTTCTTATTTTTGGAAACAGAGCCTCACTCTATCATTCAGGCTGGAGTGCACTGCAGGATCTCAGCTCACTGAAACCTCCACCTCTCAGGTTCAAGTGATTCCTGTGCCTCAGCCCCTCCAAGTAGCTGGGACTACAGGTGTGTGCCACCAAGCCTGGTAAATTTTTTTTGTATTTTTGGTAGAGATGGAGTTTTGCCATGTTGGCCAGGCTGGTCTTGAACTCCTGACCTCAAGTGATCCGCCCACCTCAGCCTCCCAAAGTGCTGGAATTACAGGTGTGAGCCACTGTACCCAGCCTCAAATTTTTCTTTTAACTAGAAAAAAGGTTGCAGAGATAGATGCTTGTAAAATAAACTAGGTCTGCAATAAAAAACTATTTTAGATAATCATCATTTTCTTGAAATATCAACAATTACTCAGGAGAAAGCATGGTATCTTTCTAGAGTTTACAAACAAGGTTTTACTGGGTAAAAATTTTAATGTATTTGCATTTGCATTCTCTATTGTTTCACTCACATACCTCAACAAAATAACTACGAAACCTAGCACTTTCATAAGTACTAAGAAAGTAAAAGCTGAGAAGTTCTACATTCTCTTCTACTCTGCTATAACTCTGATTATTTCATTTAATAGTCAAAAAGAAAAATAACTGTTACATTCCCTTGTTTAAAAAGACACTGTATATGACATGTGAGATAAGCAGCAGCAGAATTTGATACTCAGCTAAACAAATGTAAAACCAAAGTATCTCAGTAACAGTTCTTATTAAGCCATTAAAGGAAACCCATCACAAAGTTCACTCTAATTTTGGGACAGCAATTACAGATAAAAAATTTCAATCACAGGTCATTTAATGACATGAATACATTCTGAGAAACATGTTAGGTGATTTCATCATTGTGCAAACATCAATTGTACTTACACAAACATAGATGACACACGTATATTTTCACATGGAAAACCAAATATCCCAGCAACATTACTGAATATCAATAGCTTCCCCTACTTGATCTGCAATGCCAATATCAAGTGCCATATATCAAGTTTCTATACATGCTCCATTATAATCTTAGCGAGCAATGTCATATATATGGTCCACTGTTGACTGACACATGGTGCATGGCTGTACATTATTCATACAGATGAAAAAATCCTTAGGGAGCCATCTATCCCACTGTTTTGTCTTTAGCCAGCTTTGTCTTATATTTAAACTATCAAATTTTAAATTGAGAATGAAGCTCTCACTTAGTCCCCACAAAAGGCTTTTGAAAACTTCTGCTTAAAGTGCAAAACAATGAGTATAATTAGGCTACCAATTATGTTACAAAAGGAGGAGAGAAAACGTGTGTGTGTATGTGGGTGGGGGTGTGTGTGTGTATATATATATATATATATATATTTCATTTGATTATTCAAGTAAATACAGATGTGTATATATAGGGGGGTGTGTATACACACACACACCCCCCTATATATACACATCTGTATTTACTTGAATAATCAAATGAAAAATTGCTCAACAAATACAGAAGAAACTGGTAACAGTGGTTGACTACCTATTCATTATGGTGGTGGGGAAAATCAGAAAGATGGGAAACACACACAAGAACTTCTCATATTCTGAGAGTCTTGAATCAAACAAACGTGTTACCTATTTTAAAAATTAAATGGAAAATTGGCTGGGCACGGTGGCTCATGCTTGTAATCCCAGCACTTTGGGAGGCCAAGGCGGGTAGATCACAAGGTCAGGAGTCTGAGATCAGCCTGGCCAACACAGGGAAACACTGTCTCTACTAAAACTACACAAATTAGCTGGCCATGGTGGCAGGCGCCTGTAATCCCAGCTACTTGGGAGGCTGAGGCAGGAGAATAGCTTGAACCCAGGAGGCGGAGGTTGCAGTGAGCCAAGATCACGCCACTACACTCCAGCCTGGGCAACAGAGCAAGACTTCATCTAAAAAAAAAAAAAAATTAAATGGAAAATTAACAAATGCAATCTGCTGACATTATAGCTTTAGCATTCTCTAACTTAATGTGATGGTAAACTAATCAAAATTTGTTTTAAAAAAATATTAAGAGTTGAATTAATTCATAGCTCTCTGCTTTGCTTGAAATGAAGTTTCTGCGTTTCATTACCTGGTCTGTTTCTTAGGCCCCTGCCCTTCTCCTGCTCCACTTGATGACAGCCCGCCTCCTTGGTTTTTAGAAGGGTCTTTCCTTTGGCCATCATTTTGTTTCTGAGGCTTATTCTGCTTTTCAGACTTATTTTCTTTTTCTTTCTTCTTCTTATCTTTGTCCTCAGCTCCAGTGGCCAACACAGGCTTATACTCTACTCCCGTCAAAGATTTGTACTGTGCCTTTAGCTGAAGGAGTTCTTGTACAGCTGTATCTATTTGATCCTTCAGTTTAACAAAAGAGGAAAAAGGGAAGACAGTATTTAATTCACGTCACTGTCTAAACACACTTAAACAAATACGACGCCTAAAGCTTTCTTTCTTCCCCCCCAGCATCAGATGGATAATGTGCTTAGGTGGTAATAAGGTTTGAGGGAGGCGTATCTCACACGAGTGTGAAAACCCAACCATCACTCTTAGAAACCACAAAAAGATCTGTCCAAAATTTAAAAGCAGATTTGCAAACACAAAGAGGGGTTTTGGGACAGAAAGGTCTGGGGTAGGTGTTACACTAACCATTGAAATTATAAAGATTATAATAAACAGGGATGGAATTGTGCAAAAGCTGTGACTGGAAAATAGTACAGTTTATAACTGTATTATCCAGATAGTAGTCATGCGGTTAAATTTAAAGTAAATAAAATAAGAAATTCACTTCTTCAATCACCATAGTCACATTTCAAACGCTCAGTAGTCACACGTGGCTAATGACTACTGCCTTAGACAATATTGTTATCGCATATTTCTATCACTACAGAAAGTTCTACTAGAAAGCACTGGTATCTAACATGTATTCCACAGGAATCTAAGAGCCATTAAATTACGTAAGTTGAACATTTCACAATTATAAAGATAATGGTTATCAAATTCTATATTTATAAGTTAAATTTCAAAACTACAACTGTCTTCCACTCATGTCAATCTGTACCAAAAATAACCTACTCCTAAAAAGTTAAAAGAATTAGCACTTACAGAATTAGCACATACTACTAAGAGCTCAAAATAAAACCTACTATTTGAGCTTGACAGAACTTTAGGAGAAAGAATCAAAAACAAGGAAAATATTAAGGGCCTTCAATGAGCACTGTGCTATGGTCTAAGTCACTATTTTGGATTTTACAGATTAGAGAGAAACAAACAATTTAACAATTAAATATAGTGGGTTTAAGTGCTATATCAGTGATGGGCACTGTCATATGAAAACATCCGGTCAAATCTAGTTGGGGTAAGAAACAATCAACAAAGAAGGTTTCTCTAAAAGGCAAGGTAAGAGAATTGAGAACTGAAATATGAGTGAAGTTTTAGCCAGATTTGATGGGGCAGAAAACACTTGAGGCAAAGAAAATACCCTGAAATGTAAAAATCAAAAACACATAAACAAAATAACACAATAACCTTAGACGCTTTTTCAGTTTTAAGTTTCCGAACTACGTCTCCTTGAGAAGCTACTTTGTCAAAAAGTACTTTGGCTTCTGGTGCTTCTAAACCAGCGGGCTCAGAACTTCCGGCTGGACTTGAATCTGAACTTTGAGATAATGGGGGCTGACCAGGTATGTACTCCTTCCCAGTTTTTTCTTTATACTGAGCTTTCAGGGACAGTAAGCATTCTACAGCTTCATTTATTTTAGCCTAAAAGAGAGAAAAAGATATTTATAAAACTTTTGTTAAATTTCTGGAAATTTCAACGCCATTTAAAAATCTTTAATTATCAGCAAATCACTCCTGTCAGTAAGTTAATGATGGGGAAACCTATGTTAAATCATCTGCCCAAAATAAGAGATAAAGCTAAAGAAAAATTAAAAACATAAATCATACGTAAGCCATAGAAATAAACAAAAATACATATTCGCATACAACAGTGTAACTTTCTATTTTACACAGGTAAACAGATAAATGATAGAACATTTAAGTGAACTGTCAGTGTCAAGACCTGGGTCTGTAAATAGTGAAGTCAGAATTTACAAAATCAGAATCAAGATCAAATCAATGGCTTTGCTTATACAAACCTTATTTTTCCACAGCTTATTAAACAAATTAAATACAACTTTGGGGAAAAAAAGGACATTTGGGCCCAACTAACAAATTTTACAAATTTACAATGAGACAAGAAAGCATATTGAAGTTTTTAGTGTGACACTTACCTTATTTTAATCTCCAATACTTCAACATAATCATAACAAAAAAGAATGATACATTCAGCCCAACCGAGACACCTGTGACTCTAGCAGAAAATGACAGCAACACAGGTAAAGGACCCAAGCTAGACGCCTTACCTGAAATAGTGCTACCATCTCAGCACAAACCAACGTACCATGGGGAACCTCAAGGTATCAATCAAGATAGGAAGAGTGTCTCCAAATCACCCTACCCAGTTTTCACTGCTACACTCCAATAATGCTTCAGATAGCTAAATAAAACCAGGCAGAAGCCAGGAAGAATACTTAAATGGGGGTCAGAGGAATACAGGCTACCAGTGGTATATCCTCAAAAAAATCTGCATCTATGAGGGAGCAAAGCACATTTCCTTGTCCAGCTACTTTACATTTTCTGCCTATTAGAATGTCACAACAGGCACCACATAAAGGTAGAAAAATTTTAAAGAGAAGATGAGAACAGACTGTCTGATTTGTCCTCTTGATGTGTCTCTTCTTTATTCTGTTTTTAGGAAAGAGTTCTCATAGCAGAAACGACTTTATCTTAAGAAAAAGGGCCAAGTTAATCAGACATACGAGAATCAAGGGGGGAAAAAGGGAAATTTCCACTAGCTAAAATAAAAATGGAAAAGAAGAAACTTTCCTGCAACTATTTGTAGAAAAAGACAACTATTTGAAAGAAGTTCCATTTACACTATAAGCAGGTGTTTATTAGAGCTTAAAGTCACATGGTACATTTTTCACACAGGGGAAAAAAAAAACCCTTGTTTGGCAAGATTATAATTTGAAACATTATAAAGGAGAAAATTAAGGTAAGCAAATCCTCTGCTACTGAATGAGATACTCTTAATAAAGTTATATATTCATATATTTTCCCTCCCATTGGGAAATGGAATATTCTAGATAACTAAGTAAATTATTCAGGTTATTTTTCCAAAAAAGTAATCTTAACCACTATAGTTTGCTTAGCATTACAGAAAACAATGACCTAAATGTGCATTTTAATACTACTAACAGGCAATGAAAACTACTTTTTGAAAAGGATCTTTGAGTATTACTTTGAATTTGTCTCTTAGAATATACAAGGAAGAACTGATGGGTAGAGAACAAATTATCTCTTAATACCAGTTTTCTGCATTAAAAGGCATTTACATAGAGAAATTGAGTGGTATACTATTATTTAGTTCAATATTATACAACAGCAGAAGCTGAAAGAGCATTGCTAGATTTTAAGTTGTTAGTGGACAAAGACAACTTACCTAACATATGCCAATACAAACAGAAAAGGTTTTCAGCAAATAATTGCTGATGTGGATTAATGAGAAAAGAAACAACCTACACAAAATACTTTGGTATAGGTTTAAGATGGGAATTTGAAATAAGGAGGTGATGCTAATAATATGACTAAAACTTGGAAAATTAATAAAATGGACAATTTTCTGATTACATTCTGATTGCATTCAGAGTAAGAGTATTCAAACAGCTGTTTTTTTCAGCAGCCACTAGATGGAAACATTGCTCCATGGGGAAAGAAGAGAAAGTCAAAAAAAAAAAAAAAAAAAAAACCTGGAACATTATCAATTAGAAATAATACTACAACCTTTCAAAATAGAATGTATATCTCAATTCAAAATGAAAAAAACTTTTTTCAAAAAATTATTTTTTCAAACATGTTTTTTCTAACCTTTATTACCAGTCATTCACTTTTGCTCCTTACTGGCCTGAGAGAACTCATGATTTAAACAGGTAGTAACGACTCATGAAAGCAGAGATTCTCACTTGGTGGGGTGGGGGTAATCAGAACAGAAAATCCTTCCAAGTGAGTGAGGGAAGACAGTGCTGAGGCTTGTATTATATTTTTTAAAGTCTGCTAGGAGATTTAGTAAACTAAAAGTTCACAGGTTTCAAAGAAAGGCATTTTAAGAAAATAATTAACTGATTGTCTGTGCTTAGCTTAAATACCTACACCTGTAAGAAATATCCAATTACTGAAACCTAAATCTGAAAGCCAATACAGCACAGGGTAGAGCGCAGATCCTTATGTCAAGCCTAAATTAGAACACAACATCTGTTCTCCTGCTTATCAACTGGGCTGATTCATTTACCTAAATCACAAATTACCTGCTACTTTTGTCGGACACAAATCAATTAACACAAATTCTCAAGATTTTCCTACAAGATCCTCAAGCTACTATAAGTCTTAAGAAGTATCCTGAACCAAAATCTGATTTAAGATGTATTTATATTTGTTTAGCTCAAAAGCAAGTTTGAATTCAGTACCAAATACAGATACAGCGGGAATAGACTACACATATCCCAAATAAGAATTACAAACAACATCAAGAAAAGGATAGGCTTGATTGTAGTTCCCTTCCCTGCAATCTTTATCTTTTGGCCTGAGACATCTTAAAGCTATGGGGTAAGAGTGCAGGGCGGTGGTTTCCTAGAACAAAAGGGGCACATGATGTGTGTCCTTTCCTGATAAATTTTGGTTTGGGTTAAAAAAAAAAAAAAAAATTTGTGTAAAAAATAAAAGCAAAGACTGGCAAGATGAATTATTGGGGACATAAAACACAAGGTACCATGAATTAAAATGCTGCAACTACAGAAGCAAATGGTGATTAAAACTCCCTCCACATAGACTGGGTATGACATAAAGAGAAAACGTTAGTGACAAAACAATTGTGAATTATTTTTATTTAATAATTTGATTTTGTTGTTACTTTATTTAAAAAAAAAAAAAAAACTGTTAACTATAGTGGTTCTTCTTCCATGGCAGGGATCAGCAAACTTTTTCTCTAAAGGGCTACATAGTAAGTATTTTAGGCGATGTGAGTCTCTGTTGCAAACTATTCAACTCTTTAACTGTATCACGAAAGCAGCCATAGACAATATGTAACCTAATGAGTGTGGCTGTATTCTAATAAAATTTCATTTATAGGCTGGGTGAGGTGGCTTATGCATGTAATCCCAGGACTTTGGGAGGCCAAGGCTGGTAGACCACCTGAGGTCAGGAGTTTGAGACCAGCCTGACTAACGTGGTAAAACCTCACCTCTTCTAGAAAAAAATACAAAATTAGCTGGGCATCATGGTACATGCCTGTAATCCCAGCTACTCAGGAGGCTGAGGCATGAGAATTGCTTGAACCCAGGAGGCAGAGGTTGCAGTGAGCCAAGATCGTGCCATCACACTCCAGCCTGGACAAGAAGAGCACAACTCCGTCTCACCAAAAAAAAAATTTTCATTTACAAAGAACAGGTATATGGCCAGGCCCAGCAGCTCATGCCTGTAATCCCAATACTTTGGGAAGTCAAGGAGGGAGGACTGCTTGAGTACAGGAGTTCAAGACCAGCCTTGCTGACATGGTGAAACCCCATCTCTATAAGCAAGACAAAAATTAGCCAGGCATAGTAGCACTCGCCTATACTTCCAGCTGCTTAGGAGGCTGAGATGAGAGGATTGCTTGAGCCTGGGAGATTGAGGCTGCAGTGAGCCATTATCAAGCCACTGCACTCCAGCCTGGGCAACAGAGCAAAACCCTGTCTCAAAACAAAACAAAAAAGCCACAAATTTTGTTTAAAGTGTCTTTTTTAAAGTTAATATTCAGCATTGTTATATCTTTGGTGTACTCTCTGTTATGTACCTCACACTACCAGATTGATCCATTATTTTAATGCAGCAACCTACTGAGCAAGAGAAAAAGGGTAAGAGGAGCAAAAGACTTGATGGACTTCAAGTTTTCATTACTTGCCCATCTTTTTGCTTATACTTTGCCTTTACGCTTAAAAGTTCTTTCATAGGCTAGCCGCAGTGGCTCACGCCTATAATCCCAGTACTTTTGGAGGCCAAGACGGGCAGATCACCTGAGGTCAGCAGTTTGAGACCAGCCTGAACAACATGGAGAAAGCCCATCTTTACTAAAAATACAAAAAATTAGCCAGGGTTTGCGGCAAGTGCCTGTAATCCCAGCTACTCAGGAGGCTGAGGCAGGAAAATCGATTGAACCTGGGAGGCAGAGGTTGTGGTGCGCTGAGATTGTGCCATTGCATTCCAGCCTGGGCAACAAAAGCAAAACTCCATCTAAAAAAAAAAAAGTTCTTTCATAGAAGCATCTATCTGATCCTGAAGCAGGAAAGAGAAGATTAAAAACAAAATGAACAAAAAACAGAGCAAGAAAAAGTCTAACTGAAGCTGGTAACCTAAAACTTCAGCTACTCAGCTTACTTACCATAAAACATGTCATAGTAAAATAACCACCTTTGTAGAAACCTGAATAGTTAAGAGGTTTAGGCAAATTATTAATGTAAAACAAGCACAGACTTGCTAAATAAATAATGATAAACTAGTAAAACCATAACTCTTTAGTGCTTTCAATGGAATGCCCCACTCTTACTACCTTTCAAGGTAAATAACAGGCCAATCAGTCAAAATTTTAATCTAAGCTTTGCAAATTTCAGGAAGTTACTTTCATATACAGTTTCTCCTGTTACGAAAACAAGCAAATTTAAAAAATAGTATTCTTTGAATATTTTTGGACATGGCTCTTGTGAGGACTAAAAAGTATATAGTATACAGTGCCAGGTGCAGGCTAAATGCTAGTTCCATTCCTAGTAACTGGCTTGGGTCTTCAGAAGAAACATTTACTATTATTAGCATTCAGAGAAAAAATACATGCAGTACGGCAGATCCTTGAATAACATTGTTTTGTTTGTTTGATGTCATTTATAACGTTGAAGAAACAAAAAATGTGATTCCCAGCCAGAGCCACTAACTGTGTGGTGTATGTGCATTCTCCCCACGTCTTTTGAGTTTTCTCAGAACTCCAGTTTCATTTCACATCCCAAAGCTGTACACATTTGGTGAATTGGTGAGTCTAAATGCTCCCAGTTTGAGTGTTGGTGTGTGTGACTGTGCCCTGCAATGGAATGGTGTCTTGTCCAGGGCTGGTTCCTGCCTTGAGCCCTGAGCTACCAGGATTGACTCTGGCCACCCACAACCCTGAACTGGAATAACTGGGTAAATAATTATCTTACTTGTCTTTATTCATCTTTCTTAAATGTACACACAGCTCACATTTGTTTCAATTAGGAGTGTTTTTGGTCTGTAGAGCGTAATGTAAAAATAATTTTAAAAAGAAAAAGAAAATGAGATGAAGACAAAATATTAAAAAAATGAAAAAAAATGAAGACAACAACAATAAAAAAACACAAGAAGTTTGTGTAATATGATGTTTTTGGGATCAGAAATATACCGTGGTAACTTAATTGTTGCTTATGTCGATTAGCCTGTTGTTGTTATATACCATTTTGCTTAAAGTCTTAGTTTCCAAGAACCTATGAACAACATTAAGACTTACTACATTTGAAACACAGATATGGTATACAGTAGGCATTCAATAAGTGTAAGTCAGACTAAACTGATGTCAGATTTATTTCAGTATCACATTTATTAGTATTAAAATACCCAACAAAAGTATCTGCCCAATAACCAAAGAAATTTAGATTTTTTTACCCATAGGCTGACTTTTCATAACATTAACAGTGTTATTTTATGAAAGCATGATATAACCCATTAACCCAATAGGATGGGTGATGGATTGACAGTTGACTGTCACTGCAAGTATAAGGGCTGCTGCTGTTACTATTCCACCCATAATTAAGCTGACCAAAAATTGGCCCAGAATCTCAATATATTCTACTTAGAATAAAGAAATTTGAAGACCAAAGCCCTTCAAATTACACCTAGAGAGGAGTATATATTTAGTGTCCAACAGATACAGTGCAAAATGCTCTGTAACCTCCCCATGAGGTAGGAAACATCAATAATTTATATCCTAAACTCATACATCCAGCAGCATTTATTCCTCAAAGCAAAGTTGTTTTAGATAATCATGGTTCTGCAGGATCTCAACAGGCTATTTAGATTGGTGCAAAAGTAACTGTGGTTTTTGCCATTAAAAGTAACGGTAAGAATTGGCCGGGC